CCCCCCCCAAGTTTTCCCCAGCTCTAAATGACCATCAATGTGTCGATGTGCTTCTCTTTACTCAAACGAACAAACCCGTGCAGGTCCTAGGCCTTATTTTTTAAATTTTCCCTCTGTTATTTCTGTCTGTCTGTCTGTCTTACTTTTTCCCAGCACTAAATGTCCATTATTGTGTCTGTGTGCTTACTCAAACAAAACAAACAAACCACTCGCTAAACGACCAAGAAAAATTTATCACATACCTTGAGAGATAGATAAAGACTGTCATTGCTATTGTCTTGTGCCCAAAGAATGTATCTGGCTAAAGGTTATTATAGGTTATATTACTGTTCTTATCTTATCTTATCTTATAGGTTACCCATTTGCTGAAGACATGGAGTCAATGGCTGGCATAGACAAGGTGAGCGCTAGCAAAATGGAGTTGGAGAGAGAACTCATTCTGTCCAATATGCCGGGCCTGAGAGAAAAACTCGGTGAGAGACTGATTTATTTTTCGCTTTGTCATAGTCTGTTTTCTTCACCCTTATCCTTCACCCTTCATCTTTGACCCATCAACTTTCATCCTTAACCATTTACCATTCACCATTCATCCTTCACCCTTTACCCCCCACCTTTTCATCTTTCAATTTCCCCCTCTCACCGTTAACCTTTCACCCTTCACTCTTCACCCTCCACCTTTTACCCTTCACCCTTCACCCCTTCACCTATCCCGTAGCCTGGCTGACCACTGTGGCACCACGGCAGCCTTTGCATTCTTCTTCTTCCACCCCCCTGGGTTCTCAGCTTTCCCTAGTGTGATGGTCCAGTCACAGCCATTCTATCCTTTGATCCTGTCCTCCCGCCCACCGTTTTCACTGACTGCCTCCTTGTACTCTCCCCTAAAGAATAGCCTTTCCAGTTCATATGACGAACAATATGCAAGTGCCACTTCAGTTTATGTGTAAAATGAAGAAAAAAATGTTGGTTAAAGGGCACCACTGATAGGTCCTGCTTCTTTACTTTTCCTCTGTTATTTCTGTCTGGCTGTCTTAATTTTTAACAGCATTAAATGACCATTATTTTGTCCATGTTCTGCTCTCTACTCAAACAAACAAACAAACAAACAAACAAACAAACAAACAACAAACAAGCAGACGAGACGAATCTACAGAAGCAACAAAGGGAAAGGAAAGCAGCAGAAAACCTACCTGTTGTACCCCCCTCCTTCCGCCCGTAGATTTGTAGATTAATCGTAGGTCTCTATACCTTCTCTGGCAGCCTTTTCACTCAGGCTTATACAATGTTACTGACTGACTGCGTCAAATTATCGATTTTACAAATGTATTCACGCTACTTTGATCATGTCATGAGAGCAGAAGTCAAGAGTAAAGAGAACCACATCGACACAATAATGGGTCTTTTATTGTAGACAAAAAAAAAAAAAGAAAAAAAAAAGAAAAGAGAAACAAACTTGTAAAATTTTGTTCGCCAAAGTAAATATAGTGGCTGTTTGAAACCGATCAATATGGCTGATCACTCAGGCTTATACAATGTTACTGACTGACTGCGTCAAATTATCGATTTTTAAAATGTATTCACGCTACTTTGATCATGAGAGCAGCAGTCAAGAGTAAAGAGAACCACATCGACATAATAATGGGTCTTTTATTGTAGACAAAAAAAAAAAAAGAAAAAAAAAAGAAAAGAGAGACAAACTTGTACAATTTTGTTCGCCGAAGTAAATATGTGAGGCAGCGTGGTGGAATCAGGCTCTCGTCAAAATAATCAAAGTGAAGAAACTTGCATTTTTTCACAGGTTTGTGAATTTCTATCAAATTTTTGATTTTTGGCTCAACACCTTTCATGCCCATTAAAGAACTCATTTCTGAGTGGATTTTTCTGAAAAGCGTTGATTAAAGGCACAAAAATGTAAATTTTCAGTTACTACGGACTCCTAAGCTAAGGAAATAACTCATCTTTGGCGGCCATTTTCTCACTAATTTTACTTCTGACAACAGGTGACCCCCGCCTCCTTCTTTCGCAAATATCTCGACTAACAAGAGAAATGGATATTTTTTTCATCCAAATAAAGACAAGTGAAAAAGCTTTAAGATGATACCAATAACTCTACATGCCCAAAAAACTGACGAGAGCCTGATTCCACCACGCTGCCTCACATATAGTGGCAGTTTGAAACAGATCAAAATGGCTGATTTTTAAGAATTTGCAAAACAGATTTTTGCGTCTCACTCAATTTTAGTTTGAATGTAAAAAATGTAATATTTTTCGAACATGTTGATTGATAATTTCATTTTATATTCATAAATGTAACGTCGTCCGTGTTGAATTTTATTTCTGGGAAGTGAGGCAGCGTGGTGGAATCAGGCTCTCGTCAATGTTTGGGCATGTAGAGTTATTGGTATCATCTTAAAGCTTATTCACTTGTCTTTATTTGGATGGAAAAAATATCCATTTATCTTAAATAGAAGTCGAGATGTTTGCGAAAGAAGTACGTGGGGGTCAACTGTTTTCAGAAGTAAAATTTGTGAGAAAATGGCCGCCAAAGATGAGTTATTTCCTTAGCTTAAGAGTTCGTGGTAACCGAAAATTTACTTTTTTTTTGCCTTTAATCAACGTTTTTCTGAAAAATCCACACAGAAATGAGTTCTTTAATGGGTATGAAAGGTGTAGAGCCAAAAAACAAAAATTTGAGAAAAATTCACAAACCTGCGGAAAAAGGCTCGTTTCTTCACTTTGATTATTTTGACGAGAGCCTGATTCCACCGCGCTGCCTCACTATTGTTGTCGGTCCAAAGATGACTGAGTTATTGCCCTTTACATGGGTCCTTTTTTTTTTTACGACACTCAGTACAAACGGCCACTTTCCACTTTCCTCTTTAAAAAAAAAATTTTTTTTATCATTATGATCTACTGCCTAAGACGTCCACCCGTCCAAGGCAGCCACTTTTTTCTCTCCCCCCCACCCCGATGGGTGGCAGTCTTGGACATGGGGGGGGGGGGGGGGGGGGGGGGGGCTCTCGTAGCCTAGAGGTTCCAGTGTTCGCCTCTCGTTCAATAGGTCCCAGGTTCGAATCCGGATAGCGACGGAACATTTTCTTTTCTAAAATTTTCTCCTTCCCCATCATTTCCTGTTCTCTAACAATGTTCTGTCGACTGCTTTCGTCTCCTATTTCGGCCCCCCCCCCCTCACCTCCTTACCCCCCTCCTCTGGGTTCCTGACTATTTCTGCAGCCTTTCTACTGCTACTCCTTGGCTCGTTCTTGCTGCTGTCTTTCAGTTTCAGCCGCACCCCTGATCTACTCCTAGCCTTCTCGGATAAAATTGAAAAATCTCGGAGGTCCCGTGTGCAAGTTTCGCACGTTAAAGATAACTTGGGGGGTCCAAAATCGAAAAGAGTAGGTTTCGGCCGCCACCCGGACAAAATTCAAAATTCAAAATTTCCTACCCAAAAAAAGTCTTGTACATGATGACCGTTGACCCACTTTTGTGCTTGTCCACTTGCTCAGAGTCTGGGATCAACGTCATCGAAATTGGCAGCGGCCGCGGGAGTGCACTCTGTGACCTGGCGCAAAAGTTTCCCAACTCCAAGTTCACCGGTGAGATTTTTATTTTGTTTTCGTTTTGTTTTGTTTTTTTGATGAAGAGAAGCAAATCGACGAAATAATGTTCATAAAGTGCCCTGGAAAGAGTAAGACCGACGGACAGAAATGGCAATTGTCTTTGTGGGGGGATTTTTGTTTGACTGAAGAGGAACACATCAACTCAATAATGTTATTATATCAAATTCCAATCATATTGTATCATTTTATAGTAACATAATGAATTAATACTGAGAAAAAGTAAGACATACAAGCAGACAGAAACAACAGAGGGAAAATGAAGAAGTAGGACCTACCAGGAATGCGCCCTCCAACCATCCGAAAAAAATTGCAGAAAGGAACTAGAGAAGAACGTTTGCGTGTGTGAGCCCATATTGCTTTTTGAGCATAATTTTGTACTGCAATTATGCATGTGTTGCCCGCCATCGATACTATATAGATCATTTAGGAGGCGGGCTGTTTCAATCATGCTGTAAGGGCCAGTCTTGGCTGAGCGGGATACAGCATCCCAGCAGGCCTGCGTCTGTTCGGACACGTGTCCGTTTAACCTCTTCACTGCTGAGTAGAAGTATGTTCTGGCTTGTATTCTCCACTTATATTGTTTCATCTGGTTGACAAAAGAAGTTTTCGTTGGTAAAGTGACAGCTTGTTATTTTGCTTATTCTGAAACAATTCTCTGTGTTTAAACATTCCTTGAATTAACATTTCATCTTGTCGGTACAGATGTTGAGGGAAATTTTTCAGCAGTGAAGGGGTTAAGCTCCCGTGTATATTCGGACACGCGTGTCCTTCTACCCTAGCATGAATACGAGTACCGTACACATTGTGGGTCTTTTTCTTGTTGACAATGGCGTGCTTCTCTTTCTTTTTGGGCCAATGCATCTTTGCAGTTTGCATAAAATTGCATTCTATTTTTCTATTTACAGAATGATGAAAACCAATCGTGATCGTTTCATTTCTTGGCATAAATCGGCATGTAATACACGTTTGTTAAAGAGAATAAATTGTTCTTTGGGAGGATAGTGTCCGTGTCCGAATAGACGCTCTTCCCGGCAGACAGATGGAAGAACTTAATAGAAAGAACTTCTCCAAGTGGGAATCGAACCCACTTCTTCTGCGTTTGACAGCAAACGGCGAAATTATAACGCTACATATAAAAAGCACGCAATTATAGATGTTTTACGTCCTCATAGACACACTTTACATTATTTAGGAGGCCGGCTGCTTCGACCCAGCCTGTCAGGACCAACCTGGGCTTAGAAGGTTGCAACTTCCCAGCAAATAGACAGGGATACTTGAAAAACTCCACCTTCCCCCTCCCCTCCCAACACTCTCCCCTCCAGCCCCACACAGGGATCGAACTCATGACGTCTTATTCTGCTTAATTGAGAAAGCAGAGCACTTAACCACTACACCGCGCCCGCCTCTTAAATAACCTAATAGTGTTGATAGGGGCGTTAAACCCATACCATTTTCACCACTCCACCGCAGACATCAGACAAGGATACATCTATCGGTGCATGCGCCTTGCGTCTCTTTGCCCCCCC